CTAAACCCTAAACCCTTAGGATTTTGCTGAGGTCCAGGGCCTCAAAGCCGGCCACTCCAAGCGAGCAAAGATCCTTCCCCAAGATGAGGCGCGGTCCTTGGGCTGTAGATAATATAGGGGTTAATGGAAAATAAAANNNNCTATAGTATATTGGGGTTATATGGCTATTAGTATGTAGGGGTTATATTGGGGTTATATAGGGTATGGAAAAGAAAATGGGAACTACAGGAATTATAGAGATTCTATAGGGGTTAGTAGGGGTTATATAGGGATAATGGAAAAGAAAATGGAAACTACTACAATGGGCTATATAGGAATTAGAAGGTATATATTGGGGCTGTATAGGGGTTATATAGGGATCATGGAAAAGAAAATGGAAACTACAACTATGCAGGGGTTATAAAAGGCTGTGGTATCATGTCATGACCTGCTGGTTCTGAGAAGGGGATAAGAGACTATAACCCCTATATAGCCTGTATTATCTATTCCCATATTCCCTACTAGGAACTAGTAAGATGAGGGAACTTGGTATATGCAGCTATGATTTGACCTGCGAGGGTTTTCTCAGCAGAGGCAGGGTGGACAGCCTTTTGGCAGTTTATTGTCACGAAGCTAGCAGCAGCTAGGATTTGTTCTTTCATTCTCCCATGGTCTCTACAAATAATTGAATTGCCTTGTGGGTAGGGCCTGGGGGAGGGAGGTGGCTTCGGGCGTTGTTCCACCATGATTTACTCCCAAGCAATGGGGGCATGTTGGCAGAGAGGAGCAGGAGGAGTCACAGTAAACGGACAGTATGCGCATAGGCGCAGGGTAAGCTTGCGTGCAGACGCATGGAAAGGAGCACGATCCCAAAAAGAGCATGCCAAGCAGGCTCAAGGGCAACGCATGCCAACGAACCAAGGCCGTTGATCCGACGCCCTCGACTTGCAGAGCGCCACTGCACTGCTGGAGGTAGGGAATTGAGCAAGTGTCCATCCCGGGGCGCAATGTAATTTGAGAGTTCAGTTCACTGCCTCAATGCATGCTCGAGTTGCTCTCGGCGTTCGCGGACGCGCAAGCTGCGACCACGGCGGCTAGTCTATACGGCAGGACAGCGTGGAGTGGATCAAGCAGACAGACGTGAAGAGTGAGAGACAGAGTTTAATCCAGTGGGTACCCGCCTTCCTCCTCCCAAGTCATTATGAGGATGGAGCTACGGGTCGCACAGCGAAGAAGGAACTGTCTGTGCACTCCCAATGCCCAAGGAGAGAAGAGAGATTAGAAAGCAAGCTTGTATGTTATGCTTATAAAGAACCACAATGCAATCACTGTGTCCACTTCGTTTCCCTTGTTTATTTTTTTCTTTCTTTTTTTCATGCGATTTTGCAGCAGTAAATTTCTATACATGATTGCGCTCAGGGCGACCAGAGTCACCCTCCGCCTTTGGCTTGTCCTCCTTCTCCTCCTTTTTCTCGCCCTCCACCTTGGGTTTGTCCTCCGCCTTTGGTTTGTCTTCCTTCTTCTCCCCCTCCTTGGGCTTGTCCTCTTTCTTCTCCTCCTTTTTCTCGCCCTCCGCCTTTGGCTTGTCCTCCTTCTTGTCTTCCTTCTTCTCACCCTCCGCCTTTGGTTTGTCCTCCGCCTTTGGTTTGTCTTCCTTCTTATCCCCCTCCTTGGGCTTGTCCTCTTTCTTATCCTCCTTTTTCTCGCCCTCCGCCTTTGGCTTGTCCTCCTTCTTGTCTTCCTTTTTCTCACCCTCCGCCTTTGCTTTGTCCTCCGCCTTTGGTTTGTCGTCCTTCTTCTCTTCCTTCTTCTCACCCTCCGCCTTTGGCTTGTCCTCCTTCTTTTCCTCCTTCTTCTCGCCCTCCACCTTGGGTTTGTCTTCTGGCTTTGGCGCGTGCCATGCTTGAACAAATTTTCAGAACTACAGTAATGCCAATACATAGTCATAATATGTCACAATGATAATGGTCAAGAACAGCAGGACCAGCACTTGGAGGGGGTCTGTGTCTTGCCATGTTGGAGCCCCGGGATCAAGCTGTCGAGTTCTCTCAAACAAAATGCAGCGTACATTGTTGTCCTGTGTTTGTGCCACAGCCCTTGCATGATTACCGCCATGCTTGATAAGGTCTGGACTCTACTCCCATGTGCTTCCTGCTGCCGAGCCAGCCTCCAAGCACTTCAATCAGTGGTATACTTGTGAGTGGCATTTTCAGCCGAAGACAGGCTGGAGGCATGCTGGACGTTCCGCCCGTCGAACTGGCATGTTTTCAAACGTGGTGGTGTGACGTGTTGATCCTGTTTGCGCGCATACTGCCTACTTGAGGCCAGCTTGGATGATGCTTCTGCGCATAGTTGTCGGCCTGGGAGGTGCATGTTCCTTGCAAGCAGCACAGGTCAGCTGATGTGGAAGTGTCTCGAAGGTAGAGGTCTGCTCAGGTTTGCACGGTTTAAGGAAAGCCTTCTGTTGCGATATAAAAAGGTGCTGCGCTTTTGGCTTTGATGCTGCTGCTTCACCGAGCGTGCCTTCGCATGGCCTGGACCTCAAAGTAATGTGGCCATGCTTGCCTGTAGCTTTGCCAGAATTTATGCAGGCATCAGCCCACAGTAGTGCATGACGAGAAGTGCAATCATAGGTTGTCAATCGCAAGAGTTACAGTCACTAGCGCTGTCACAGGCGGGATGTTTGGAAGACAAGCATCGAGCCAAATGCCAGGCAATCGCTGCAGTCTTGAAGTCCCTGAACCCGTAAACCCCTGAACCCCTAAACCCCTAAACCCAAAGCCTCAAAACCCTTGTCTTTGACAGTTCTGCCGTGCTCGGCACTGGCTCTGTGAGGCGATGTTGGAGGTATGGAAGCATAGAGCCCCGAAACTTCCCGGAACACTTTTCTGTTTGCTGCTCCTCGTGGTCCGTGCTGTTCAACTTTCGAGTGCTTGCCAGTTCACGCTAAGCCGAAATCGGTTCATTCTATCGTTGAGATCAATTTCTTATGCTGTTTTGTTTCTGTTTTGGTCTTTCTATGCTTGATGCTCTCATCTCCACTTCGGACGTTGTTTGCGTTGTATGTTTTTGCTCTCCTTCTTTTGCAATCAGCAAGCATGGGATCTGCTGTGAAGTCAGCGAGCAGATCCCCAAGGCTAAATAGTAAGGGCCGTTGCAGGTCATGTTGCTTTTTCCACTTTCGATCTTCGCGCTGTGGACCTTTGCCGGCGCGCCGATCTTGTTCAAGGCCATATGGCTGCAACCTGCTGCGACAGTATCTTCATACATACGCATGAGCCATGTTCAGCTGCAACTGCAACATCCGCAGACATAGGGAAGCCCTGCGCCGTGCAGGAATTGGGCTTGGGGTGCCATCAGTGATCAGGTGCGCCAAGGAGAGATGGGTCGTCACAGGTCTCCTACCTTGGCAACCTCAAACCGTAGTCACTTAAGGGTTGAGGGTTTAGTCCCCTACTTCAAGCTGCCGCCCAAGTGCCTGAGCGCTTGTTTCTGCAGCACGCGGCATGACAGCCTTTGTGTTGTAACCTGCTGTACCTACACACCTTGGGACAGGCAGCAAACAACGAACAAGGATTAATCCACCTGCAAATACGGATCAAAGACGAAATCTGGGAAGGGGAAGCTCATGGAAACGGTCATGCAGCCAGAAGAAGTCACTATGACAGTCGGACATAGGTTTGCCTTATGCCAGACCCCTCAAAAAAGCACTACTTTCCAGTAACCTAGGTTGACACCACAAATGTAACCCCAATATCACCTCTGTATAAACAGTATATATACACTGTAATCCCTCGAGTTTCCATTTTCTTTTGCATTATCCTTATATTACCCCTATAGAACCCCAATATAATCCCTATATAATCCCGATATCCCTGTAGTTTCTCCAAAATGATTGAAGGACAGGGCTGGCTGGTCTGCCTCCATCATTCAAGCTTGTACTTGGGTGGTTGTCAAAATCATGGTCCCTTTTTGGGTACCCTAAATAATTGGGTGCCGTATTATAATAGGGATCCAAAAAGGGACTATAATATTCACAACCACCCACTTTATATACCCCTATATAACCCCTATAGAGTTGTAGTTTCCATTTTCCTTTCCATTATCCCTATATAACCCCTATTGAAGCTTGTACCTGAACAGCGCGCAGGACATTCAGCGCATTTGGAACAAGGGCTCTACAGTACTTGGCAGGATCAGCGGAAAGAAAACTACTCCAAATGCCGTAAGATACAGGGGTAATGTAGGGATAATGGGTAAGAAAATGGAATCGACTATAATGTCTTATATAGAGGTTATAGGGGTATGTATAATAAATTATAACAGTTTTGAAGGATCTCCTAGTGATGTACATTCAGTTGCCAAATGGCAGTATGTGAGCTTTATTTGCCTTGCAGATGCTGTATATTGCAGTATCTGCAACCTGGGAGTTCCCTAGCTGCCGCATTCTGAGTACCGTCAATAGGGTGCTGGTACCATGAC